CACTCTTGGCCCGTTTACAGAGTGATCACAACTCTCTCAATAGAAAAGCTCTGCAACTTTTCTTTCTCTTGAAACGGCTAACCCTAGAAGAAAACTCATCAGTCCTTTTTATATTCATCGGATAAGATAATCATTGTATGTTGTCTTTTCCTTGATTTATACGTATCCAATATCTTTTGATACAAAATCTCCCTTAATTGAATAGATCCTTCTTGTTGGCACTTTATCCACGTTAGCTTTTTTTGCCACGACACTTTAACTCACTTATTAGAATAGCTCCACATATGTTCGCTCGTATTCTAATGCTGCAAAGACCACTATTTCACTAGTTCCATCGAAGTTAAAGAATATGTTCTTTAGGAACAATCATTGAACATTTTTTTTTTAGATTTAGGCATGATAACTCGAAGATGTGCCTTATTGCTCCAATTGCATATATATATCGTCTATATATTAATTGAGGAGATACTAAAAAAAAATCATAGATGTCAATTAAAGAGCAATATGAGGGACACATCATTTAATTTAACCAATCAAAATATTTCAATTAAAAGTATATGCCATGGTGGAAATTCTCCACATATTCTCATTAAATTTTAATATAAACTCATTAAATATTTCTATTATGATATGTACTCTGCTATATATATTTCATCAAGCTTACAAATATTTATACATTTTATTATTGGAAAACAAATATTTTTTTCCATTTGAAATGTCTGACATCGTATGTTCTATAATTTAAACGAATAACGAAGATCAATTTTATATTTAAAATATATTAAAATAAATAAAATTTGCATATATTTTGATCAATTTACAAATAAAAATACTAAAACTGATAACATATGGTTGATCAAAAGTATTCAATTTTATTTATTTTATGCACAATATATATCATTTTTGTACGCTTATAGTTATTAAAATCATATGTTTTGTCAATCATTAAAATTTAAATATTAAAAAATTATATATCAATTAACTAATTTATTCAATCATTTAATCCCACGCTAGGGCGCGGGCCAAA